ATTATTGAAGGAGTTCCAAGATATTCTTCCGGACGATCTTCCGAATGAGCTACCGCCATACCGAACGCATCAACACGAAATCGTGGAGGAACCGGGTTCAAAGCCGACCTTCCGAGCACCATATCGGCTCAGCCCTACAGAGCTGACCGACATGAAGAAACAAATCGAGTATCTCCTAGCCAAAGGACTCATCCGACCATCCACTTCGCCGTACGGTGCCCCAGTACTCTTCACACCGAAACCGGACGGAAGCCTGCGCATGTGCATCGACTACCGAGCTCTTAACAAGCAGACCATCAAGAATAAATATCCGATACCACGAATCGATGATATGCTTGACCAGCTTCGGGGAGCTACGGTATTTTCCAAACTGATTCTGCGGTCCGGATACTGGCAGATACGCATGGCGGACAACTCTATCCACAAAACTGCTTTCCGAACTCGGTATGGATCGTACGAGTATTTGGTAATGCCATTCGAACTCACCAACGCACCGGCAACGTTCCAAGCCGAAATGAACCACATTCTACGACCACTTTTGGACGAATGCGTGGTGGTGTACCTGGACGACATACTTATCTACTCGCGCGACATGAAGCAGCACGTCGAACACCTGCAACGCGTCTTCGAAATTCTTCGACAAGAACGATTCTACGTCAAACTGTCCAAGAGCGAATTCGCCCTTGAAAAGGTCCAGTTCCTAGGACACATGGTGAGCGCTCAAGGAGTTCACGTCGACCCCAAGAAAATCGAGGCCGTACGCACGTGGAAGACACCCGAGAACGTGAAGGAGTTGCAGCAGTTCCTAGGCTTCGCTAATTACTATAACAGGTTCGTGCCACAGTATGCGAAAATCGCAGCACCACTCACGAATCTGCTGAAGAAGAACACGCCCTACAAATGGGAGCCGAAGCACCAGGAAGCCGTGGAGCAGCTGAAGCAAGCACTTACGTCCGCACCGGTACTCCTTTTGCCAGATCCCGAACGCGACTGCGTCATCGAGGCTGACGCCAGTGACCAAGCAGTGGGAGCAGTCTTGATGCAAGATCAAGGGAATGGACTGCAACCAATCGCTTACCTAAGTAAGAAACTGCACGGGGCAGAACTAAACTACCCGATACACGACAAGCAGGCCCTGGCTATCATCATCGTCTTCAAAGCGTGGAGATGCTGTAGCCTGAAATACTTGAAGACACAACCCAACCTTTCCAGGCGGCAGGTCCGGTGGATCGACTTCCTCGAGACACACTTCCACTATGACATCGTGTACAAGCCCGGTCATAAGAACAAAGCAGACGCTCTCAGCCGGCCTGCACACGTTGCCGCTATTCAGGTCGAAGGGATGAATCCACTACTCAAGGGACTCTTCACACACGGGTACACCACCGACCCCGAAATTCCCTTGGCAGAAAAGCGACATCTGCTACAGTGGGACAGTGACATCGCGTAACGGAAAGGATCAACGAAAATCTGGGTACCCAATTACCCTCCTTTGCGCCAGTTACTACTCGAAGAATACCACGACGTCCTCTACGCCGGACACTTCGGTAGCAACAAGACGCTGACCGGTATCGCAAAGCACTACTACTGGCCTCACTTAGCAGAAGATGTCCAGAAATTCGTCACCTTGTGTGATACATGTCAGCGGATGAAGTGAGGTCAGCGGGCAGCACAGCAGAGGGGGTCTGGGCAGGGAAGCGTACCGTCAAGGTGTGCCGAGAGCGGGTGGCCATCCTGCTGCTGACCAGTGAGGTGGCGGCGGAGGTCGGCTAGCCAGGCCTCGAACTCCATAGGCTGACCTTCAGCGTCGAAGCGAAGCTCCGCCGCCATCAGGAACAGTGCAGGACAGGGCAAGGTGAGGCAGTGCAGTGCGGTCCAGTGCAGTGCAGGGCGGTACAGTGCGGTGCAGCGCGGTACAGTGCGGTACAGTGCAGTGCAGCGCGGTGCCGTGCGGTGCAGGGGGGTGCAGCGCGGTGCAAGGTGATGGAGAACCGTACCAGGGAGGGTGCAGTGCAGTAGCAGGGAGGGTGCAGTGCAGTAGCAGGTACGGAGAGCGGGCCGCACGCAGATCGGCGGCAGTCCGGCGGGAAGGTGAGCACGGGGCCGGAGATCGACGGGCAGGGCGCGCGCAGGGGTCGGCAGAACGGGTGCGGGGGGGCAGTAGCGACGGGCGCCGGGCCGGCGAGGACGAGCCTGGGACGGGCGCGGGGCCGGATAAGACGGGCCTGGGATAGGCGCGGGGCCGGCTAGGACGGGCGCGGGGGTCTGTAGGACGGGCGCGGGGGCCAGCTAGGACGAGCGCGAGGGCCGGCTAGGACGGGCGCAGGAGCCGGTAGGACGGGCGCGGGGGCAGCTAGGATGGGCGCAGGGCCGGCTAGGACGGGCGCGGGGGCCGCTAGGACGGGCGCGGGGGCCGCTAGGACGGGCGCGGGGCCGGTAAGGACGGGCGCGAGGGCCGGTAGGACGGGTGCGGGGCGGACTAGGACGGGCGAGGGAGCCGTTAGGACGGGCGCGGGGCCAGCTAGGACGGGCGCAAGGCCAGCTAGGACGGGCGCAGGGCCGGCTAGGACGGGCGCGGGGGCCGTTAGGACGGGCGCGGGGCCAGCTAGGACGGGTGCGGGGCCAGCTAGGATGGGCGCGGGGTCGACTGGGACGGGCGCGGGGCCAGCTAGGACAGGCGCGGGGCCAGCTAGGACGGGCGCGGGGCCGGCTAGGAAAGGCGCGGGGGCCGTTAGAACGGGCGCGGGGCCAGCTAGGACGGGTGCGGGGCCAGCTAGGACGGGCGCGGGGTCGACTGGGACGGGCGCGGGGCCAGCTAGGACGGGCGGGGGGCCGACTAGGAAGGGCGCGGGGGCTGTTAGGACGGGCGCGGGGCCAGCTAGGACGGGCGAGGGGGCCGTGAGGACGTGCGCGGGGGCCAGCTAGGACGGGCGCGGCGGGCGCAGCTAGGACGGGCGTGCGGGCGCGGCTAGGACGGGTGCGGGGTCGACTAGGAAGGGCGCGGGGGCGGCTAGGGCCTAGGGCGGAAGCATGGGCGGGCGACGGGACCTACCTACTGCTGATACCATCTTATAACTGAGTAATAAATGACTAGAGAACCTGGGTACAAGCATACATATCTAAAGGTTGTACTCTCTAAGAGGTGACCCTATACAGTCTATACAAACACTAGATATACTAATGTTTGACAGTATAACCTAATGGGTTGTACTTCTTAAGGCACAACCCTATATAGTCTACAGTAACATACAATATATGTTTGACACATATGCCACCCATGGGCTGACTATTTCGGCGGGTCTTATATACGGGGGATTACGGTATATATAATTGTACGCTTGGTATGTGTTAATGGATCCTACTGTAGAGGGGACAGTCATAAAGTTGTTAGAAGGCTAGCTTAGCTAGGAAGCTAGGAAAGGCATGAGGTTTAGCTAGGAGGAGCCATGGAGTGGCGTGAGGTTTAGGAAGGAGAAAAGTTGAGGAGGGAAAAGGGGTTGGGAATAGAAGAGAGAGGGATACAAGGAGGGGTGTTGTACCCTCTACAGTATAGTTCAGTAACCTACCAAGCCTAACAATTATATAACACAATATATAATTTTAACACACTCCCTAGGCTTGATAGTCACATGCCCACACACACCCACACCCCCTAACCTAGCACCCCCATTCCAGCCACAATGACAGCGACACTAGGTCGGTCGACCCCACGGCGCGTGAGGCGACGATGTCGACCGCAGGGGCTGCGGCGGCGATGGCGGCAGCGGCGGCAGTGTCGACAGCGGCGACGGTGGCGGCGTGCGGCTGCGTTGCCCTGACGCAAGCGGCGACAGCGGCGGCGGCGGCGCCCGCACCTCTCAGTGACGTGGCCAGGACCCGCGACGGTGGGACGGCCGGCGGGAGTCAGCCGTCGTCTGCGGAAAGGAAGAGGACACAGGGGAAGGAGGGGGGGGGCGCCACAGGCTGACATGCGGGCGGCCGGTCTAGCGGCGCCACAGGCGTCGCACGGCTGGCTGCAGCCCGACGACGCCGTCACAGAGCGGCGTCGATGCCGCAGCAGGACGTCGACTCTGCGACGGCAGCACGACGGCGCCGTCACGCCGACTGCGCGCTGTTGCGTAGATGCCACGGCAGCGTGACGGCGCCGTCACATCGCCACAGCAGCTTGACGCGACGACGAAGCCGCGGTGCGACGACGCGGCCACAGCAGCTGGACGCGGGCGCCATGGACGCGAGAGAGAGAGAGAGAGAGAGAGAGAGAGAGAGAGAGAGAGAGAGAGAGAGAGAGAGAGAGAGAGAGAGAGAGAGAGAGAGAGAGAGAGAGAGAGAGAGAGAGAGAAACAAGCACACAGCGGAAACGTGAGGAGCAGGCCCACAAGGAACGAACTGCTCTAATGCCATGTTAGAAGGCTAGCTTACCTAGGAAGCTAGGAAAGGCATGAGGTTCAGCTAGGAGGAGCCTTGAAGTGGCGTGAGGTTTAGGAAGGAGAAAAGTTGAGGAGGGAAAAGGGGTTGGGAATAGAAGAGAGAGGGATGCAAACAGGGGTGTTGTACCCTTTACAGTAAAGTTCAGTAACCTACCAAGCCTAACAATTATATAACACAATATATAATTTTAACAAAAGTAACAAGTCCTAACCACTGGGACAAGAAGGGATGTCATCATGAGGGTTAGGCTCCATATATCCACCTTCCCCAGGGAAAGCCTCCCCAGTATCCTCCCTAGACATAGAGAGAGGATCGGCAGGGTAATCCCAGTGCCACGACAAGGACAACCCCCCTACTTGTATCCCTCTCTTCTAGTCCATCTCTCTTCTCTCTCGACATTTTACTCTCCCATCTAAAATCTCACACTATTTCATGGCTCTACTTCCTAGTTAGCTTTTTCGACATTCACCACAAGCAGCAGGCGGATATGCAGCTATGAGTGCGTGAAATGTGACATGTAATGACATCTATCAGCATTATTACGAAGACCTGCCTAAGCAAAAATCATAGAAGGCTAACATGATTGTGGGGTCATAATAAATTTGACTTTATCCATGTGCAGGTTACATGAAATATCCTGCCTCTTTCATACTTTATTACCATTACCCAAATCTCCCTCCCCCATTCCAAAATCTGCCCTTCAAACCTCTCATCTCATCCCATCCTTCCAGAACTCAAGCCTGCTACAGAGGAAGCAAGCAGCCACTGAAAGGCCACCAGGAACACTAACAGATGCAACTCAGATGCAGAATCAGCAGCACAGTCAGCACCAATTTGCATGGAAGCTCTAGATGGTGGCAGCAGGGACGCAGGTGTTGTTGCCCCTGATGTAGCTGTTGCTGTTGCTGAAGTGAAGCTCCTCAATGCAGGGGCGGAAGTCATACGCCCACGCATACAGAATGTTCACCGTCTCCCCGGGGAACATCTGCACATTGCCAGCGGCCCCGCGGTTCATCCACATCTCGCAGTACCCCGGCAGGGTTTGCCCGAAGATGGGGCCTGTCTGGTACTGCGTGGGGTTGGGCGCGGGGTTCTCCAGGAAGCCGTCCCACAGGGTGCCAAACTCGAAGCAGTTAAACACGACCAGCGGGCTGGTGACGTTGTACGCGCACCCGTTGTAGAACGTCATGTTGAAAATGTAGCTGTGCAGGTCGAACGGCCCCAGGTACTGCGACCGCACCGTCACCGTCGACCCCCCACACGCTGAAAAACAGGGAAGGGGGGAGGGGGAGAGGGGAAGGGGAAGAACAGGGAGGGGGGGGTGGGGGGGCGGAGGGGGAGGGTGTAAGGGAAGGGCAGCTTAGTTTTTCCAGGCTTGAAAGACAAAGAAAAAAGGGGGAGAGGGGAAAGGGCAAGAAGAATGCGCAGCTTAGTTTTCCCAGGAATAAGAGTGGTAACTCTGCCCCTGGATAGCGCATGCCGGAGGGTCAGAACTGAAACCCTAAATATTGCATGAGAGGGGTTCAGAAATGATGCTCAGAAATGAAATGGAATGAAGAGTGAGGGCAAAGAGCATGAGGGTAAGGAGAGGGGCAGGGGAGGAGCAGCACTTACTGGTGGCGAGGGCCTTGCGGCGAGGGATGTGGGAGAGGTAGTCCGGCAGTGTGTCGTGGTGAGAGAAGGTCTCAGCGGCCAGAATGCGACCGCCCTTCCTCTGCTGCCCGCCCACGCCCTTGCCTGCCGCCCTTGGGACTATGTCCCTCGCTCCACTCACCGACGCCGCCAGCAGCCCCACCGCCAGCGCTGCCAGCAGCAGCACGCGAGCAAGACACGCCATGAGAGGCGGGACGAGGGGAGGCTCGAGGTGGAGGAGGTGGGAGGAGGAATAAAACGTCCTGAAGAGAGGAGTGGGGAGAAGATGCCACTGAAGCTGATGACTCCATGGCTGCGCTCGGTGGTGGCTTTATAGGTGAGGATAAAGGCGTCCAATGGATGATGGAAGGTGCGAGGGGCGAAGTCCCGTGTCTAGGGACGGAGGAGGAGGAGGAGGAGCGAGCACAGCTGCCTTGATCGTGAAGGAGGTGAGCAGTCGGAGACGCATGCTGGCCGCAGTCAGGGACGCAATGCAATGCAACTGTCGCTGGCGATTCCCCTGCTGGCTACACGAATCCCGTCACCAAGACTACCATTCCCCTCTCTGGTATTCAGTCTGAATGCTACTAGGCACGGCCGCTGCACTGTCACATGTCGATTCCTCTGCTGGCTACGGTGCTGGTGACCGATGCGGAAGGATGGTGAGAGATGGTGAGAGGTGGTGAGCGGCGGTGAGGGATGCCGAGAGAAGGAAGGCTGGCTGCGATGATTCCATGGCTCGAATCATCAGCGGACATGCCAAGCGTCGGCGATCGAGGTAGTACTGTAAAAGGCACGCTGACATGCTACCGCCGACTATTCAACGCGATTCGATCTCAGGTACTAGCGTCGGCGGCATGATACGTGGGGGACTTGAAACCCGCGGAACGGAAGTGCAAATCTTTGAACGGAGTTGCACAAGCGCCGGCGATGGTTAAACGAAACGACGAAAAGCCGTTCTCCTATTCATGGTCACCCTCCCTTGCATCCGCAGGCGCCTGATCTCCCTCTAGAGCGCTGACTCATTCTCGTTTCTCTCCCCTCTCCCTCTAGCGCGCTGACTCGCTCTCGGCATCAAGCAGGGCGAGCATACACCGGCATACATCTGGTAGGTCGAGCAGCAGCAGCGACGGTTAAACGGCTGTCTGCGAGCCTAACGACATGAACCAGTCGCATCGCGAGCGACATGAACGGTTGGCTTACTGGGATGGCTCCCCCAACCCTAGAGACGGTTAGGATGACGCTGCTCCCGTGTCGCAGCGCACAGATCCATGTCGCTACATCGGCAAGGAGGCTCATTCCCTGCCTACCCTGCCTTCATTCATCCCCTGGGGCCTTGGGAACTCACTGTCTTGAGAAACCTGCCCGCTGCCTGTGGCTGTTGGTGTTCCGCTGCACACGAAAAGTGTAACTCGTTTCGCCTGCGCGATATCTCTGAGCGAAGACCTGATTGACGAAATGGATTTCTACTTTGTTGGACTTTTTTGGATTTCGACTTTGTTTGTTATGAAATAGGAAGTGTAAATGTACTAAAACGTGAGAATACAACGATCGCTATTGCAATGAAGGCACGAGGTTATATAGGAGTTGGCGTACTAGGGCGATAACCTCGGAACGTGGGTACGTTCGGCAATGTGGCGACAGTGCCGGGCGCGACTCGGGAAAGGGTTGGACTGATAATTGAGGCCGAACGTGACGAGTCGATGAAGTCGGGTGTACGCGCTAGAGTACGACTCAGTAAGGAATGGACATTCCTTACACTACCCCCCCTCCTAAGCGAGACCGTGGGCATCGGAAACATTCCGACGTTGATAATACGCTGTTAGAATCGGATGTGATTCTAGCTCAGCGAGCGGCACCCAGCTGTTGTCTTCGGACGTGCGATCGCACCAGCGGACGAGAAAATCAACCATCCGACGGTTCGGCTGCGTCATGACTCGATGGCCGAGAATTTTCTAAGGCTCGGTTGTCGGTTCCTGCAGAGGCGTCAGCTGTGGTACAGCGTGTTGGCGCGCCAACTCCGAGGAACCGGGGACGTAGGGCCGTAAGAGGCTGACGTGGAATGCCGGGTGTTGACGCCAATCAGTCGGGAGTCGGAGGTGAGCGGTGACTGGTGTCACCACATTCGTCACTTGAAAGGGTCCGCAGAATCTAGGGCGGAGTTTGCTCGGAATTGGCAGCCGCAAATTGCGAGTGTCGAGGAGGACGAGATCTCCCACTTTGTAAGTGACGTCACGTCGATGGCGATCGGCGTGTCGGCTTGCGACCAGGTTGGCTTTCCGTATGGCCTCGGCTGCTTGTTCTCGGGCAGCGAGAATGTCTTCAACAAATTTATGGGACCGGGGCACGGGTGTCTCGATATTCGGGGTAGAGGGAACCACCGGGTCCTGTCCGTAGTTTAGGAAAAACGGGGACTGATGCGTTGTCGCGGAGGGTGCGTTGTTATACGCGAATTCCAGCAGCGGAAGGGATTTCTCCCATGTCTGTGGGTCAGTATAGGTAGTCCGAATGAGCTGCTCCATAGTTTGGTTGACTCGTTCGGTCTGCCCGTCGGTCTGTGGGTGGTAGGCAGAGGAAAATTGTAGTTTGGTGCCGAACTGGTCCCACAGCTGGCGCCATAAATTCGATGTGAATTCGGGTCTCGGTCAGAAATAATTGCGGTAGGCAGTCCGTGCAGTCGAATGATGTTGGCGATGAACAGTTGAGCGGTTCGCTCGGCTGTGATGGTCGGTTGGCAAGCGATGAAGTGCACCATTTTCGTGAGTCGATCGACAACCACGAGGGTGGCGTCGTTTCCGCTGGGACCGGCTGGCAGCCCTGTGACATAGTCCATCGTGATGTGTTGCCAGGGTCGCTCGGGCGGATCCAACGGCTGTAGTAGTCCGGCTGCTCGCTGATGAGAAGATTTCATGATCTGGCAGGCGGTGCAGGAGGACACGTACTTGCGCACGCCGTCAGCCATGTTCGGCCAATAGTAGTTGCGCTGCAGCGTCTTCGTAGTTTTGTCGACTCCGAAATGCCCGGGAGTAGGGTTGTCGTGGGATTCCTCTATTAAAAGGGTACGAAGTAAATCGTAGCCAGGTACCCAAATAGTGTCCAGCGGCTGTGGTGTGTTGTTGATGAATAGCAGAGCGGAAGAAAAGGTCGATCTTGTAGCCGTTGTTAAATTGTCCGTTATGTAATGGGCTGGTCTAGGCGATTAGTATGGCGGCGGTATGGGCAGTAGGTCGGGTCAAGGCATCGGCGATATTGTTGGTGCCCCGTTTTTAGGTGATAGTGTAATGGAAATTCGACTCGAGGAAATCGAGCCATCGAATCTGTCGCGGGTTGAGATTCGGTTGGGCTCGCAGGTACTGTAAGCATTTGCGGTCAGTTCGCACTGTGACGTCAGCGCCTGTCAAGTAGCACCGCCAGGTCTTGAACGCGTGGACGATCGCCAGCATTTCCTTGTCGTGGACTGTATAATTTTTCTCCGCGCCCTGCAGCTTCCGTGATTCTTAGGCGACTGGCTGTAACCCGTCGCCAAAATCCTGTAGGAGAACTGCACCGATGGCGATGTCGCTGGCGTCGGTGATGACTTCGTATGGACGGTCAGGATCGGAGATGCGAAGAACGAATAGCGACGTGAGTGCGATCTTCAGTTGGTCAAATGCAGCTTGCTGCTTTTCTCCGCACAAAAAAAAATCTTTATCCTTCAGTCGGTCGATTAGCGGGACAGATAACCCAGCCATATTGGGTATAAAGTGGTGGACATAGTTGACGACACCGAGAAAGCTCTACAATTCCTTGAGGTTGGTCGACGACTTCCATTCATGGATTGTCTTGATATTCTTGGGGTCGTTTTTCACTCCTTCGGTAGATACGACGTGTCCCAAAAACTCCAACTCCTGTTTAAGAAAGTCGCACTTAGACCCTTTCGTGATGAGGCGATTCTTGTGCACGAGCGTGAAGACTACATCAAGATCCTTTAAGTGTTGCTCCCTGCTACGGCTGTAGATTAGGATGTCGTCGAGGTAGAGAATTACGCATCTATCCAAGAGTTCCCTGAAAACGCCGTTCATGGTCATCTGGAATGTCGAGGGCGCGTTCGTGAGGCCAAAGGGCATCACCAGGTATTCGTAACTGCCGTAGCGGGTTCGGAAGGCGGTTTTGTGACAATCTTCGGCGGCGACGCGAATTTGATGGCAACCTCCTCGCAAATCAATTTTCGAGAAGAACTTGGCTCCGCAAAGTTGGTCGAGTAGATCGTCAGCTCGCGGGATCGGGTAACGTGACTTGATTGTGATCCGGTTAAGGGCGCAGTAGTCGATGCACATGCGGAATCCTCCATCTTTTTTCGGGGTGAACAGGATCGGGGCGGCGTATAGGGACGTGCTGGGCCGGATAAACCCCTTCGTGAGAAGATAATCCAATTGCTGCTGCTGTTCTTCCAGTTCCAGTTGGCTGAGCCGAAATTGTCGCTGTACTGTCGGTTGGGCACCTGGTTCTAGCTCGATGCGATGGTCTTCTGGTCGGCTCGGCGGCAATCCAGCGGGAAGGTCGTCCGGGAAAATCTCGGGGTACTTCCGAATCAGGTCCGCTAAATCCGGAGCAACGGCATCGCACAGCTTCACGATATCTTCGGCTGTTGTCGGCGACGTCACCTCGCAAAGATCGACGGTGTACGCTGCAGCTCCCGCCTTTATCGCGCATTTGAAAGTTATCGCATGGACTTGGGTGCTTCGCATGCAAGGCCCCGTCCATTTCGGGAGTGTGCGATGATCCCGTCGAGTTTGATGCTGCAGCCGCCCGTTGTCCAGTCAATCTTCGGGTTGTACTGTCGCAGCCAATCCCTTCCCAGCAGCACATCGCATCCATCGAGTGTAGTCGCCAGCAGCCCCATCCGAAATTTTACGTGCTCCTCGCAGTGGAAACCGACGTTCTCCACTCGTTCTCGTATGGCCAGCGCTGTTCCATCTACTAGGCGGGCTTCAATTTTGGGTAGACACTTAAGTAGGGGGATACCCAAATTTTTAGCCCTATCCAGCTGTATGAGACTGTGACTCGCGCCTCCATCCACGAATATTTTCAGCAACACCCCGTTGACTTTACCCTCCACCAACACAGGGTGATCAGCAGTTTTGTCCCCCTTATTCGTCCGGGTCCGGTCGATTGCAGCAATCGGGATCACAACCCGGTGGGGACTGTGTGGCTCGGGCGAAGAAGCCTGCCCGTCAGTAAGGGGCCCGGTACTTACTGACGCGACCCATTTCCCAGTCGCTCCTCCGGCTTCTTCCCCATAGAATTCTGAGTGGCTATGATTT